TTTTGGGGGGGGGGGCGGACTCTGTTAAGAAGAGATGCCTTCTGATAGCACATGATATGAAGTACATGGGTCTTTTAGAGGTATAGTGACTTCCTGAGACCTGTGGCTAAAACACAACAGCCCATAGACATTAATTATAGCCTGCAAACATGGTTGGGTAGAGCATACCCTGAGAAGGGAAAAGGAAAACATCGCAAGCGTGTTACTGGAATCTCCAAAGAGGATAGAACAGTAGGCCGGCCAAGGTAATACTGAGGAAGGACAGTGTGAGGAGAAGCAAGGACTGCCGGGCTTACGTGGGCGCAACTAAAGAGAGCTGCCCAAAACTGAGTCCGGTGGAGAGGTGTGGCTGCAGTTCTTTGCTCGTTAGGGGCCCTAAAGGAATTAGTCAGGTACGGGCCCCTAAGGAATAAGTCAAGTACGGGCCCCTAAGGAATAAGTCAAGCATGGGCCCCTAAGGCATAACTCAAGTTGGGACCCTAAGGAATAAGTCAAGTATGGGCCCCTAAGGCATAACTCAAGTTGGGACCCTAAGGAATAAGTCAAGTATGGGCCCCTAAACGAATAAGTAAAGTATGTTAAGTGGCTTCTAAAGTCAGGGTCTTTAACGTTGAGAACGAATTCATTGCCAACCAGTGTAATTAGATTTATGAACTTTAGAGAAAATGAGAAAACTAGACTAAGAAACAGGTTACATATGGCTGTTGAATGTTTATTCGAATAAGTTTCACACTTTGCAACCATGATAACTTTTGTATTTTCTCATGTACGGAAACTAAGACAAAATTAAAGTATTAAAAGTGAAGAAAAATCGAAATTGAGTCGACAAAACTTCTGTTTTACAACCTCTCTTTTTAATGTGTGTTTCTGTCTGTGTGTATGCAAGTGTGTGTGTACGTAAGTGTGTGTGTGTATGCGAGTGTGTGTATGTATGTGTGTGTGTTAATGCGAGCGTGTGTGCGTGTTGGTATGTCTGAGAACACGCGAACTTGAGCACCGTTTCACCTAGGTGGACTACGTTTCATATGCTAGTACTAGAACTTAGCGTAGGTTTCTTTCAACTTTAGAGCGATTTCCGGTAACCGAAAACTAATAATGATATTTTAATACCATATTATCTTAACGAAGCATAATTATTATGAAAGAATATTTAATCTCTGTTATTTCTTTTTAAAAAATAAAATTAAAAACAGTTTTATTAAAAACGTACCTACCGTTTATATAGCCCGATTCCAGTGGAAGTGCCATTCCAACGATATGCTAGAAAGTTTTGGGGAGTTCTATCCCGCGTTTTTTACACAGTAGCCGTACATTAATTAAGTTCCGGTATCTTTCATTTAATTAAGAAAATCAAATTTCAGCTGTTTTACCCACACCGCACACAGCGCAGGTGTGAATGAATAGACCGCCAACCACAGACATCCCCCCACCCCCGGCACACTCATACCCCTTCTTCCCCCACCCCTGAAGCACACACTGAGTTAGTTATCTACACACACCTTGCGAAGATGCTAATGTTGGTATCGCTACAAACTTGTTAACACGTGTCATTAATCTCCCTGAATATCAAATTTTATCGACTCCAAGGAAACATTTTTATACCTATTTTCGTAACCATAATTTTTGCAGGTGTAGTGAGAAAAATTTAACGCTACCTGGATATAAACCAGACAGGTAGGTTAGGTCGAAGTATGATCAATATGGGTCGGTACACCAGAGTTAAACAGCGTGGTTGGGGGATAGTGCGCAAGGCTGCTAGCCCAAAGGTCTCGAGTTGGATCCAGGAATCGAATCCATAGGTCTTCCCTGAGTCGGCACAGCTCTAATGAATACCTGACTTAAGTTAGGGTAAGAAAATGTGATTGGGCCTAAGAACTGACCACACTCTCCCTAAAGAAGACTAGTTGAAGAAACAGATATCTATATTGTCTTTGCTCAAAGACCGTCGAGTTCGAAAAACCAACAAACCAAGATTTAAAGTTAAGTACTAATTCTACAGTGTTCCTCAGAGAAGATGAAGTAGAATTTATGTAACAGTCTCTACGCTTTTTAAAGAAGCCGTATAATGAGTATACCCTACTGCTGACTTGTGTTCTGCAAGGACCGAGGAAGAGTAAAATAAGAAGTAGTGTGGTTCTAGTTACTAGCCTGGGTAGCTTTCACATATTTAATTATTTGTTATTTTCAGAACGAGGTGGATTAAATGAAGCCCTAAAAGTTTGTTTTTGTTGACATATCCATCGTTTCACGGTTGGGGAATTTAATGCAATCAAAAATACTAGTGGTCAGTTTGGGATAACCCACAGGCTTCATATTCTCCCCATCTTTTTACAAGCCCACTTTCAATATAATTATTGAATTTTTAATTTACGTGGTATAACTGAGTATTTTTTTTTAAGTCAGCCATTGCAAATATCACAGACATTCTTTATGCGAACATTATTTTTGGTATCTTTAGTCATAGACAAATGAACATTTATATATTTGTTCCTGTTTTATGAGCATAAACCGAACATTAGGATATGTGTTCTTGTTTTATGAGCATAAACTGAGCATTAGGATATGTGTTCCTATTTAATGAACGTAAACTGAACATTTGGAGGTGTCCCTGTTTTATGAGCGTAACCCGAACATTAGGATCTCTGGTCCTATATGTTAAATGTCAACCTTAGGCAACGAAATACGAAGTTAAAGTTTCCTTTAAAAAAAACGTTAACGAACATTTACTGTTTACAAAGACGGATTGTTGAGACTCACGGAACTAAATCCATGTAATTCTTCAAGCCATTCCTAGTAAGTGTCGCACTACATGAAAACAATGTGTGTGTTTTTTTTAATAAATCACGTCTCCGTGTGCACACTATACAAGTGTGCTTAAAAAATTTACCTATTAGGTGTAGGATCTTGACATGGAGAAAATGTATTCAACTGCCTTCCCTCCCCTTATCTTTTCCCGCCGTTTAAAGTAGACACGTCTGCTAGAGTTTAGATTTGCCATGAGCCTTGAAATGTGATATTAAATATCCTGTTTTTGTTATTTTGGAATTGCAATCACACATGTCTGATAGACTTAAGTTTAAATATCCACAAAATTAACACACATATGAACACATTAATTATTTATTCGTGAAAAAGAAAAATGAAAAACCTTACTACAAATTATTCATAAATTCCTCTATAACTACAGTAATAAACAGTGTTTCTTTCAGACTTTTTTCTCCGGGGGGGACGCGGGGGGGGGGGGGGGACACGACACCTCAAATTTTCGGGGGGGGGGGGACGAACACTGTTAAAAGTTTTCAAAAAGTATTTATTTTCTATATAGAAAATTCCATTTCGTTCGGGGGGGGGGGGGGTTAGGGGCGGTTGTCTTTGTTTGGGGGGGGGGGCTGAATAGATGCTTGGAAGAAACTCTGGTAATATAAAGAAGTACAGATAGAACTGAGATCTACTGACTTAATAAGCCCGGATTCGAACTCGAGACTCTGGGGTTAGCAGTCTCGCGCTCTAACTCATCGTGTATGTAATTTTGTTGTGCCCCATCTGTTCGAGTTCAATCTTAAGCCTATATATTTACAAGTCAAATTTAAATTATATTCGAGAGCATTCGATTTCAGTGGCTCTTTTGCCATTATGTGTTTCGTTAAACAATTAAAGTCTGATTTCTTCATGGCGGCGAAATTTTTTCACGTCGCAAGAGAGTAGCATTGACCTGACTCTTGCTTTGAGAGTGGATGTGGATAATATTCAGATTTGTGGATGTGGATAATCGTTAAACGTTTTCAAGGATGCGGGTTGTATTCGGTTCACCATTTTATTGATGGGAATAATATTCGGTTTACCGTATTCTGGATGTTAATCAAATTCGGCGGAATAAAGGCAACGAAGAAATATTTAGACCTATTAAACAAGTATTCAAACGGAAATTTGAAATCAATTAATTATTAAGCTAATTAAAAAATCATATAATTTCCTTCACACTATTTCAAGCATATTAATATGGTGCTTTTAAGCAAAGTTCTAATTCAATTTTTTTTTTATATTACATTTTTTTTTAAACTTATTTTTATGGTTTTTAGTTAATTATTGACATTTACTCTACTGGATTTCTAGTAAAGATAAACCGGGAGTGATCTCCCCTAAACTTTCTCGAATATTCTTATAAAAAACAACAGGGGATGGGAACTCGGGCTATAGACATGATTTTTAATCAATTTTAAATACTTAAAGTTTTAAAAATAGAATAAAATCTCGTAGACAAATGAATTGCACACCAAGTGAACGCTAAATAAAAGAGTGTTTAATAGTGCGCAATATTATTAGTACTTTAAAAATTTACATTAGTTTTTTGAGAAATCGGAAGTAGCGTAAATTACTACTTCCGGTCAATGGAAATTACTCAAAATTTAACAGAAGGTAGAGAATTAGATCTTTAACTTATGTGTGAAATTTCATTTATCTATGTGAAATAATACTCAAGTTATAGGCTTTTTAAAAATTCAAAGTAAAAAAAGTACCACTTCCGGTTCTCGGAAATCGCTCAAAAGTTGATACGGATCTACGATTTTGATAAACTACTTATATATGAAATTTCATCAACCTAGCTGTAACGGTACTCAAGTAATCGTGTTTACACACGGACAGACACACAGACACACACACACACAGACATACGGACAGAGTTGCAAAGCCCAGTTTTTCAGACTGGATTACGCACAAAACCTCTTAATTTTGATACATCTGGATTGATAATTTTTGCCCGATTAAAATAAGTCCTCTATACTTCGGATGTGATGAAGGACTGAGGTGTAATACGGTGAAAATTGTTAAAATTTCAAGTGATTTTTGTGCACGATTACAATACTTTCTCTATACTTCGTATATACGAGAAAGTAAAAAAACGAACACAAGGCCATTTCGTTATTGTACAAGTTAGTGAAAAAATATAGATCAAGTACATACATTTTTTTTTTGGTAAAACTAAAATAAAATTAACTTACCTTGTGTAATCGAATACCATAGAAAGCTTGACAACGAGAATTCTGAATCGTATTCTCCAACTAACAAAATCAGCAGAATATAAACAAATAACAAAACAAACTGATGCACTAATCGTCTAACACGGTCTAACTAATTAGCAGGCGGCTGAGATTAGCAGACAGCGACATTCGTCTCCCCTCAGGCCACAGGTTGTTCTGGGGACGTCACAGCAGTTTTACCCCCGCCCTTTGTCGCATGTTGGTGGGTTTTTTTTTTTCTTCTCACGCAAATTTCGCGACGCTAAATGGGAGAGAGGGGAGGTAAGTCTGACCTAAGAAAAAAAGGGAGGTAAGATTTGTATTTGCCCTGGTTCGCTAAGGTTTACCAAAATTGTACCGCTATTGTTCTAAATAAGTTTTGATCTTTATTAATTATTTAAAAAAAAAAAGACGTGTCTCCCTATTAAACAATACATTTAAAGAAACATGTATTTAATTAACACTACGCCAATAAACACGTCCACCCAACCGAGACGGAAAAAAATAATGTGTATAGAAAATATATACCAGTTTCCATTATTGTCATTCAAATTAAATTAAAACTTTTATCGAAGTAATGTATCCCAAAAAAAAAATAAAGAAAAAAAAAGTTTCCATTCCCAACCCCACCTCGCAAATTTAAAAACGCCCTGCCCCCCCCCCCCCTCACCCCGGAAGCTTTAAGTGCCCCGTGCACCGGAGGAAAATTCTGAAAGAAACCCTGTTTCATATTCGCCCAATATGGATATGAGATTTCGTTAATAACTCCCAACCTCAATTTTAAAAAACGCTTTTTCAATTTTTAGACGACAAAAGTAGTATATGTGTTTTTTTAATATCTGAAAAATAAACTGAAATTGTTTTCTTTTCGCTAAAAAAAAAAGTGCAATTGAAAAAGTAAAGTAAAACGTGTAATTAGATGTGAAATGCTTGATGAGTTGTCTCTGTCAAGGCAGTGCCCCCCCCCCCCCCCCCCCGCCTTCATTTATGGAGTAACACGAACTGGCACGGATCAAGTTAATGTGCGATGAGGGAGGGAAGGGGCGGGGAATCCACAATCACTGTATTAAAAAAAACGTTGTTGTCAAAAATTCGGTTACAGCCAAGGAAAAAAAAACGTTAAAGGACACTAAAAGTCTTGGGCGAATGTCAGTCCAGTATAGCTCTTAAAACAGTTTCACTGTAGGCAGTGGCTTCGCTAGGTCGGGTGTCATCCCCCCCCCCCCCTCTTGTAATAATTGTCTATTTGTACTTAAAGACAGTTTAATTTTAATTGATTTTTAACGGAACTGGTAAAAAGCTTTTTTATTCTGTAAATTTGCATTTTTTTGTCACCCGGTGCGGCCCGCACCCCCCGCCCCGCCCTAGCTACGCCTCTGACTATAGGTATAAGTCAGTAACTGTCCCAAAGTCTTATGGCTGTAAACTAGCCAAGTCTTATATAAGACATTTACATACTTTACATATGTTTGTCTGTTTATCTAGTCAATAAACAACAGTTTTAAAACTTGATACTTAACAAGTGGTGCCATTTGCATAATTATGCACCGGCCGTGTAATCTAAACAGGACTAAAGTTCGCATTAAAAAATTCTAATAATAAAATGAGACTTGAAATATAATATCTCGTTTTTTTTTCTTCTCATATATCCAACTCCCAAACTCCGCACTAACCCGCTTCTTTATAGTCGAAATATATATATATATATATATATATATATATATATATATATATATATATATATATATATATATATATATATATATTATACATTTTACTCTAACATGTATTATACGCAGTTTCTACCGTCCCCCCGTCCCCCGAACGCAATAGAATTTATAAAGAAAATATAGATGATATAGAGCACGAAGGCAGTATGTCCAAAAAACATAATCTCGAGAAAAATGAGTTTATGAATGTCAATCCAATATTAAAATAGTATATAATATTATGGTTGGACATTCATAATATATTTGCTTTCTACTTTTCTGTCATCAGTGTTCTTGTAGCTTGTATTCTTGACAATATAAGAAGAAATGTACATCGATTTTACAAAAAAAGGACATTCTGCATTTGTTTGAATATACACGCGAAATTTATTATATACCTTTACCAGTGTAACCTCCCCCCCCCCCGGAAATTTTAGCGTACCACCCCCCGCTCCCCCCCCCCCCCCTCCAACCCCCCAGAAAAAAAATCTGGAAGAAACACGGATTATACGCATCTGTCTGTTTTAAACACCACCAAACCCACTCTCACACATTTATGTTGTTCACCCCCCCCCCCCCCACCCACACACACACACATTTTATACTTATAACCCACATCTCTATTTTTTTTTTAAAAACCATACGTTACGTATCGGACCGTAGCCACGTGTTATCACATGCCACAGTTATCGTGTTTGCACGCGCATTTATTTTAGCAAATTACGTAAAATGCACTGCGCAGTGCATAGAAAAAAAAACTTTTCGCGGGTATGTTTTATTTATTTCTGTTACATTAATCTAAACCTTTAGAGGATTA